CCCAAACAAATCCTTAGTTTCATATAGCCATTTGTCAAAGATGGTAAAGCAACTAATGGCATAAATATAATATGGGTTTGCTTGTTAGCTTATTTTTATTGATTGTTTATTTTACAGATATGAACATTAGTTGGCATGTAATCATTTACTTATCTTATGTTATCTTCATTATTTGAAAATTCTAAAAATTCTATTATATTATGAATGAGATGCAACAGCACTATTTTGAAAATCGGACCGGACCGGTCGGTTCAACCGTGAACCGGTCTGATCCAGCTTTAGAACCGGCTCTGTAGTGGACCGAATCAAACCGGATTGAACCGGCGGTTCAACCGGTGAACCGTTAAAATGGTCCGGGTTGAAAAGAACCAGCCGGTTTATAAAAAAATTTATTTTTGTTTTAATTAAAATTCTAAAATTTACTTCAGCTGCTTATGTTCAAATTTCATAAAATATCACTAACTTTAAAATCTTTCCAATATTTACAAATGCTGCCACTATAATCTGCATGCAACCAGCCCAAAATGTGGGAGTCCAAGCTGTCCCGGTGTTTATAAACTGAAGCAGGTCTGGTAACAACCTGAACCTATTTATCCTATTTTCTTTCGACCCGATAACACCCACTGAACTCGATAAGTTGCTGCTTCCTCTTAGACACCTAACGGCTCTTTTTTGAGCATTTGAGGAGATTTTCAATTGTGTAAATTAACCTCTAAATGCTTTTCCAACAACTAAAAGATTTCCAGAATTAGTTTTCTATTTTTTCTATAATGTCCTCAACATTTGGATTGTTTAGAACCTTAAGCAAAATTCTTGAAATCTGAAACTCGTCCTCCCAACCTTGAGTTCTTCAAGGTTCCATCATTTGCCAAGGAATTGTACAAGGAAACTTACAATGTTTCCTTTCAGATTTTATTTTGAGTTTCTACATGTTAAATTCTTTCATAGCAAACATTGCAAAGTCTTGTATTTCTTTTTCCTTATTTTGTCTCAAGTAAGGCTTAAAAAGCTTTATTTTTTATTTAGTTTGGAGTTGTACTTAGTGTAGAAGAGTACATTGGGTTGTCGCCCATTAATGATGACATTGTCTCGGTTTTCTTCATCATCAAGGAGAAAGTTTGTGCGTTAGGCTCAGAATAGTGGAATTCTAGCTAAGGTGTAAGAGGCAATGTTCTAAGTTATTTCCTAATTTACGTCCGGTTGTGGTCTAGGCTCCACTGCCGGTGGACTCTGTTTCTAATCCCTTAGTGAATTTTGGTATCCCTGTTGTTTCTTCTATCCCGGTTATTAACTCTGTCCCTCTATGTGATAATAATGTGGTAAATGGTGAAGTTCCTTCGGCTCTACGGGTTTTGAATTGTGATATTGCTATTAATGCTGCGGAGGTTGATGCCTTGCCATTTGTTGAATCTCCGGTTTATTCTCCTGATGCTATGGGGTCCAATAATCACCTATTTCTTGTGTAGACATAATTGTAACTTTGATGTTACTAAATCAAATTGGATTAGCTTGTGTATTTGAGTCAAAACTTTATATTGAGCTTATTAGATATAACTCACACAAATAGTCTAATTACTTAGGCTTCATTTGGGACGGTTTTCATATTGCTTTTTAAAATAATTTTTTAGTTGAAAAGTTAAAATTTGTGTACTAAAAAATCATTTTAAAAAACAGTAAGAAAGTGATTACAAATATGTCTAATCTGATGTCTTTGAATGTAATAATATTAATATAATTTGTATTAACCCATTTATATTATGTAGGTCATTTCTCTTATACATTAGTTTTATAATTAGATTTTGTGGTTGATTATTATTTTTATTGATACATGATTTATTGGCTTTTGCATGGATTCTTATTCATTAGGAAATGATTATTCTAAAAATATAAAATAAATCATTAGATGATGTCACATGGATTTATATTTTCCGGTGATTTTTCTATTACTTTGTTACTTTGTTGGATCGGTCAAATATTCTGATCAAGCTTTCAAATGATCTTGACTATGGTAGGATTTTTGCTCATCGTTCCTACTTCGTTTATGGCTGTTTCATGAAAGTTATTAAGTAGTCGCCTCTCTTGGACCTTTCGGAGGAGTCGCCGATCGTCCCTGTATGGATTTCCTTTCCGAGTTTGCGTCCTCACCTTTTTTCTTCTTGTATTCTCTTTGGGTTAGGTTCTATTTTTGGTCGCCCGATTCAAACCGACAATGCCACGGCTGTTGGCTCGCGTCCCTCAGTTGCACGTATTCTTGTTGAAATTGATATTTCTAAAACCTATCCTGAATCTGTTTGGTTGGGTTCGGAGAAACTTGAGTATGTTCAAAGAGTTGTTTTTGAAGGTGTGCCCAACTTCTGTCATCATTGTAAGGCTGTGGGTCATAAGAAGTCGGAATGTTCTAAGTTATTTCCTAATTTACGTCCGATTGTGGTCTCGGCTCCACTGCCGGTGGACTCTGTTTCTAATCCCTTAGTGAATTTTGGTATCCCTGTTGTTTCTTCTATCCCGGTTGTTAACTTTGTCCCTCTATGTGATAATAATGTGGTAAATGGTGAAGTTCCTTCGGCTCTACAGGTTTTGAATTGTGATATTGCTATTAATGCTGCGGAGGTTGATGCCTTGCCCTTTGTTGAATCTCCGGTTTGTTCTCCTGATGCTATGGGGTCCCCTATTCCGATGGCTTCTTTTGATTGGTTGGGGGTGATGTTTTACATGGTAATGAGGTTGGGGTGGTTTCGGCTCCCTTTATTACTCCTGTTGGTGTTAATATTAGAAATGTTGTGGATAGTTACCCTGTTGTGGCTGTGATTGATGATTTGGCAGCTCCGTCGCCTGGTGTCGAGGTTTCCTGTAAACCGACTGTGACTGTGGACAATAATGCTGAGTGTGTGCGGGTGGATAAAATGAATGGAAATTCAGCGTGTTCTAATAATTTTGTTGACGTCCCTGTAAATTTGGTCGACACGCATACTATGGTCAATCGTTTGGGTGATAATTTTGGATTCGATATTAGGAACCATGTGGATTGGCTACATGGGTTGTCTGAATTTGAATATGAATCCGACTTTTCGGATTGTGGCTTGGTTTCTCCGTTCTGATCCTGGAAACGATTTTACTCTGGTTTGTGATAGACCTGTTAGCTAGGTTGCTTCTCGTGGGAGACTTCGTGGAAGGGGCCGGAGAAGAAGATAATTTTTATATATACTGTATTTTTTCCCTTTATTTTTGCGGGATTGGCTTTCTGGTCATTTGGTCGCTTGGGTGGTGCGCTGGTTTATGGGGCACTAATGTGGTTGAGGCTCGTGTCCTTGTTATCGCGTTGGTGGCAACCTTTGGTGTTGTTCATAGAGTTAGTTGGATATGGGGAGCTGTCTTCACCTTAATGGATGGTCCGTGCGAAGCTTCGGGGATGCTGGGAGCCTCGGCCGATTACTGAACCCTCTTTTGGGTTGTATTTTGCCTTTATCTTAATATATTAGTTTTGTTTAAAAAAAAAATATTAAGTGTTGTAAGGCAATCTTAAACTTCGACTGGAATTATTATTTTATTATTTTTTAAAGCAATTTTTTTAGGACAATTGAAACCTTATATTCGAGAATTTTCTTATTTGCTTGAGTGAGCAGACTCGGGATCTGGATATTTTAATTGATTAGATTCTTTTCATTTCTTGTTCAAATAAGGTTGATTTAAACCGAATCATATAAATTTGATTGTGTATGTATGTATAATTATCTTATTGTGTATTAATGATGAATAGTATTTGGTCATAGAGGCACTTCTCTGCATCCGAGTTTTAGCAATTGGTTACTACTACTAATGGCACAATTTAAGAGTAAGTTACTTAAAAAGTGTAATCTTTATGTATGATTTTAGAATCTTGGGCTAATTTAACAAAAGAAAATTGCTTATTTGTTCAAATCATAGCCCAGAAATTTCCAATTTGTTTGAACTAATAAAGCGAGAGAGAAAGAAAGAAAAGTTGACAATTTTTTAATTTTTTATTAAAAAAAAATAAATACTCTTCTATAAGGGTGTGAGTGGTTAAGCTATACTGTGAGCGAGCTCAGGTTTGACTGGATGAATAGTTTGTGAGTTGAGCTCAATGAGCTAATGAGTTAAATTGAGTCCCAACTTGACATTTTAATTTGTGAGTTAATTCGTTTTAAAAAATATTAATATAAAATATAGTTGAAATATATTAGCATTCATATTCATAATATATTTTAAGTATAAAATTATTAAAAATATTAAAAAATTATATCTTATTTTTATATTAAGTATTTTTTTATTTATTTTCTATAATTTCCCTTTTTTTAATCATTTTCTCTATCTCAAAATAAATTACATGTACTTTAAGCTCAACTAAGGCTTAGTTTGGGACGGCTTTTTCACTGCTTTCTAAAACGGAGCTTTAATACAAAAATAAAAAAAATTTGTACTAAAACTCCGTTTTAAAAAACAATAAAAAAGCCGTCCAAACGAAGCCTAACTCCTTTACACCCTTACTTTTATATGAAACACCAACTCTATAAAACACCAATGTACCCTTAAAAACAGTATTAAAATATGAAGGGGCATGGAATAAAATGCAAATGATAAAGCTCTAAGCTTCAAAAGCAGAAAGATGGCTCCACCAAAAGCAAAATCAAACAGCAAAAGAAAAGGGTTTTTCTATTTTTCACCGGCTTCTTTTCTTCTATTTTGGTGTTTTGCTTGTGTTGAGGCTGGGGATTTTAGGTACTTAACAATTAACACCCTCTTGTTCATGGGTTTGGGTCCAAAGCAATATTAGGGTTATAAATTTTATGAATATATTATTAGAGCTCATTTATTTGCTAATTAATAAAACTTCTATCAATAACAAATTTATTTTTATTTAGGTTTCATTTGGCACGGCTTACGTACTGCTTCTTAAAGCAATTTTTGTGTTAAAAAATTGCTTTAACAAGAAGTTAGAAAATTATTCCGAATAAAGCCTTAGTTTAAACATAAAAATGAAATCATCAGTATGAATTTCTCACTGCATTTAGCCAATTAATAAAATCTATCAAATACATTATTCCTCACAATGTATTTTCTTCCACAAACTACTAAACAAGCCGTGTTACAGCTCTATCTTTTGGCGTATAAAAAGCATCATGTCTAATATATAATAAAATCCATGCAGTCATAAATGTAAGCAAATATAGCAAAAAAAAGAAGGAAAAGAATACAACATAACATCCCAATTTCGCAGCTTTTGTCAGCTCGGGGATAAGAATTACTGAGGTAGAAAGAGCATAAGGCTCTCAAGTTGGAGAACAACCTTAGATGTCTTTGAATGCAGCAAACACATCACCATGGATAAAATCATTGTCAACCAGGCTGACTAAGTAGTAACTTCTTTGAACCTGCACAAAACATGAAAGTTTATGATTTTCTTTGGGATTAAAAGTCAAATTACCAACCGTTGCTTTAGCTTGATTGGTCGGCGAGTACGACTAGGAACCCCCCAACCAGTGTTTGATTCCCCTCAAGCAACAACCGTTCTTAAGTGGGGCTAAATCAAGTGCAGGCCAGAAGGTTTCTAGAATAGGTGCCTCTTCTAGATCAGCAGAGGATTAGTCACGCCGCCAAGTGCCATTTTGGGGGTGGCAACGGGTGGTAGGGGTGTCAATTTCGGGTCACGGGTCGGGTTCGGGTCGAACCAGAAACTGACCCGACATTATTCGGGTCAACCCGAACCCGACCCATTTTTACAAATGGGTTGTTTTTTCGGATCCAACCCGCTTCAGGTTCGGATCAACCCGACCCGAATGACCTGGTGCCAACAAAAAACTGCTAATTTTTTTGTCAAAAAATGGGTCAATCTAAACTTTTCGAATAAAAACGGGTCAATCTTGGGTTGCCGGGTCAAAACGGATTTTCGGATAAAAAGGGCCAATTTCGGGTCAAAGGGCTAACCCGAACCGACCCGATTTTTTAAACAAGTCGGGTTCGGGTCAAACCAAACCCGAAATTTTCGGGTCGGATTTTTGGTCGGGTCCAATATTGACACCCCTAGAGGGTGAATACCCCATTCCTAAAAAAAATGAAAATTGAATTCGATTAAAAGACAATTTCTTTTTTACTCATATACTCTTACCTCCTCCAATAGTGCCCTTGATGGATCAGCCTCAGGGAACAAGCAAGCCCATCCTCTTGTCCAGATTTCAAATGCCTCATCCTTCCACACCATAAAGCTAGCAGGATCAACAACAGTCGGTTGAATAATTTCCTTTGCTGGGAAAACACCCCAGGTCACCGCGTTCACTGCATTAGGACCCACATTGGAGAGACGAAGTCCCTCTTTGTTCACAGCAATGTAAGTGACCGAAGGAAGTGCTTTACAGTTTTCAACAAGCTGGCTTAGCTTCTCTACTGAGCAAAAAAATTCAATATAGGCCTTCTGGTAAACATAGCCCCCAGGACCACCCCATCCTGTCAAGCAACAGATATTAGGACAAAAACTAGCAAGTCTACCGAGTGTTTATGAATCACTAACAGTGAAGATAATTAAAATAAAATAAGATCTAGGTGTAATAAGTTAGTATCTTGAATTTGTCATAAAGAAATGAAGAATATAGATGATTACAATTAAGAAGTGCATCAGGAGTAATTATTTGATCATAAAAACATTATGGAGAATCAAAGATTAATTTTATAAAATCATAATTAAATAGCGATGTTATATGTATAAGTGTTTAGGGTAGTAAAAATATAATTCATATCTAAATTGAGAAAGATAGAAATTAGAATATTTTGATGGATACATGTCAAAATTAGGAAGCACAACTTAGAAATAATAATATTAGATGAGTAATTAGAGTAATGTCACTAATTAAGATGTTAGATAAAGTTTCTTCATAATTCAAGATCCTAGAGTACTCCGTCACTTATCAGTAATAAGTAATGGAATCGAAGCTTGTTGGAAGGTAGACCTCGGCCCCACTAAGTTTGGGATAAATATATATATTTTTTGAACGGAGGTATCTACTTATTCTCACTCCAAAGAGAGTGCTTAGCAGCGTAACTAATCCCTCGGTGAAACCTAGCGAGGACACCCACCAGCATCGAGTCCACACTTGCTTTGCTCCACTGAAAAGGCGAGGCCGTAGTAGAGGGGATTCGAATCCGAGATGGGGGTTCCCAACTGTGCTTGCCCACCACCAGGATAAATACTATTGTAGCTATTTATGATATGGAAGTTTCACTCGGAAGTTCTCTTACTGCTATGTAAAGAAAATGATGCCCACCTAAATTTAGGATAAAGCATGATACCTCCTCTCACTTCGAATCCTAATCCCGCTAATATCACCAGCAAATCTCAGTGAGCACAAAAACTCTTTGAGCTATGAGAAATTAGTAATTGATGTGAGAAAAACTACTATTACATGCTAAATCTAGTTAGATTACTTAATGCTTAAAAATCAGTAAAAACCCATTAAAGTTGAAAAATTAAATGTTACCAGAGAAAATAAAAAATTCTAGATTTATCATAAAACAACAAAAGATAGAGGAAACAAAAATTAAAACAACAGACACACTGCACTTACCAACAGTAGGGGAGCCAGATTTCACACCATTGACTGCAGGTTGACTGTTGATGGTAAGAAAACCTTTCAAGTTAATTTGACTCAACTGTTCATCTATTATCTTTGTTTCTGGTTGAAGTCCATCTAGATCAGACCATGGACTGCTCCTAAGTTTGCCCAGGCAGTAGTTCATAAACCTCTACAAAACACAACAAATAAGACCATATATACTAATTTTTTATTTAGAAGAAGAAGAAGCTGGACAAGCTGAGAACTACCTCATGAACATCTTCAATGGATTTAATTGGGATAGCCCATTCTTCTTGAAGTTTCTTATCACGTGTACGTGGACGCATAAACTGTTAGATGAACTTCTAAAGTTTAGTGGTACAGAACAAAATGAAAGCAACTGAAAACAGCTGTTGAAACACCTAACAGGCCATTTCTCACAGAAACAAAGGCCAAATAAAAACAAATGGCCACAAAGAGAGTATCACCATTAACATAATAATAAATTCAAACGGCCTTCATGAAAACGAAAAAAAAAAAACTCAAATGACAGATGAAATCTAAAATATAACAAGTAAAAATATTTTTTGCCGTCTCACCATACTATTCTAGCTGTTACTCTGAAGCTTGCAGCCAAGAGAGAGAGAGAGAGAATACATTCAAGAAGGAACTGTCACTTTAACTTTAGGTTCCTATTTAATCGTATTAGGGGCGTAAGTGAGCCAAGTCAGCTCACCAACGAGCTTATGAGTCGAGCTTATCGAGCAACGAGCTCGAGCTCAGCCTGGCTCAGCTTGAAACCTCATTGAGCAGTTAGATCAAATTTAAATATATTTAAAAATTAATTAAATTAATATTATATAATATATTTTAATATTTTCAAATTACTTTTATTTTAAAAAATAAAATTTCTAAAAAAACTAAAATTTAAAATTAATAAAACGAGCTATAAATCGAGTCAACTTGAGCTTTCCAAATGAGCTCGAGCTTTGTAATTGAGCTCGAGGTCAGCAAGAACTAAACAAAAAAGATACTCGGCTCAACTCGTTTACACCCGTAAATCCATAAATCCTATTGTAAGATGATTTTTTTTAAGAAAATATTTAAATATGTCAGGTTACATGAAAACATTCAAGGAAAAATATCTGTCTTATCATATCAAATAGTATTAGAACAAACTTCATAAAACGTGGCACATCAATGTTTAAAAGCAGAACATGAGAGAACCAAATCTCAATATGCTATGAGTGCAAAAGTTCCTATCACTAAAACAACATTAGCCCCTGAGATAGCATGTGTATGGATACACTACCTGATGGTCTGTAAGTGCTCCATATGATGGATTTTGAGAATCACCCCACCTCCCCCGTGGGTACTGATCCCAACCTGAAGTCCTCAAAATGTAACTCTTAGGACGATTAGCCCTGGAACATCATGAAAATGAAATGAAATATGTGCAGATGCTGCTTAAGAGTATATATATAATATAAAATTCACATTCTAAAGAGCTCAGATGTTGAAAGCAATACCAGAAGATTGGTCGGACATCTTCTTTAGCGCGAAAAACATTTGCAGGAGGTCTCCATGGCAAGGACCTTGTGACCTTGGACTCCTCAATTAATCCTAGATTCTGCAAACATGAATATGTAAATAATGCTCGCATAGCCATACAAATATAAGTAATCCCAAAAATTGTATACCATTAATATAGCTAGCGCTGACTTTTCCATGTTCAGTGTGTAGAGATGCACTGTTTTGATCCCGTGAGCTAAAATTTTCTTGCACATCTCAGTTCCTAAGTGGATTCCATATGCCTTCACAGCTTCTTCATTGTCCTTAATTGGATCCAAAGCCGCAGTAATCTCAGAAGTAATCTGCCACATAACAATAAATTCATAAAAATGTACGCTCAAGAAATAAATGTAGCATTTCTGTAAAACTAATTAGTAGCTCGTCTGGGTCTGAAGTGTGTTTTCAGGGTCAAACTGAATAAGCAAATAAATTATGGAACAGTGAGGACATCAGGAACGCAAATAACCATGTAAGAAAATGGTCAAATGATGTGATTCAGGGTCGTTTGGGACAGCTTTATTATTGCTTCTAAAAGCGGCTTTTTAGCACAAAATATTAATTTTTGTACTAGAAAGCTGCTTTAAGAAGCAGGAAAAAAAGCTGTCCCAAACGAAACCTCAATCATATTGGAGCGGCATTGTTAGCAGAACTTGGATATAAAAGATGGTAATACCCACATAAATTACAAAGATGATGAAGATGCTAACAAAACACATGAACAAGAACCCAAAACAATTCTGTAATGAAATCCCAAGACAAGTCTAATGCTTTGCATTTTTTTTTCTTGTTCAAAAGAGAAGACTACCCTTCATCTTACACACACAAAAGAAAAACGGAGATATTACCTTCGTCTTGCAAAATCCTGTCATACGCAAAAAGCCTTTGTAGTTATTTATAGGCATGATTCCTGGAACAATTGGGCAAGTTATCCCAATTTGACGGCAGTCACTGACAAACTTGAGGAAAATGTCAGTATCGTAAAATAACTGAGTGATTATCAGATCTGCACCGGCATCCACCTGTCAAGCATAAAATATCCAGCACAATATCACTAAAATGCCAAGGGAAGGGGAAAAAAAAAGACATGGAAGTATATTTATAAATAGATTACAGAAAATGAAGCTGACAAAATGTAACTGCTAACATGATAACTTCTTTAAATAAGTCATAAACACGCATAATCACCAAGCAGAATAAGTCATATATAAAGTATCGGAGGATACCTTTTTCTTTAAATAAGCAAGGTCATTACTGTAAGCTTCCAAAGTAGCACCTCCTTCTTGGATCATATCAGGATGTGCCTCTGTAATGGAACCAATTAGATGCAGAGAAGAGTTGAGGCCATAGCGATCAAAGAAGTTTCATTCTTAGTACAAAAACTAGTCCCATAAGCCAGAATTGCAAGGATAAAAAAAGTGGAAGTACCTCAAAATTCCATTAGATTATATTAATTCATTTATTAAAATTAAATTATAAAATCACTTACTTCAATAAAATGTTCTTAATTAAAAGCCATTCCAAACCAAATGCCGGCATATGCTTCACAGTTACAATTTAATGCCACATAAAATACCTATTTTTATTTTGTAAGTTTGCCATTTTGTTGTAAGCTAGATGGTCAGTGAAATTCAAACACAAAGCTATGCTACTACGTAGTAAGCCAATGTCAATTGTATGGATCATGCGAACTACTTTAGTTGTATATAGAACATGTGTAACTAACCCGGATAACCAGCAACAGTTATGCCAAAATAATCACCATATTTTGCCCGAATGTGCTTTACCTGCAAGTTTGTTGTGGCATTTAGAATTTAACCAATATGTCAAAGAAGAAAAAATGGCCTGAAAAACAATAAGCACTCAAAACAGAAATGCTTAAAACATAAGATTTAAAGTACAAAGCAATGGCTTGCAACAGCAGTAAATAAGAATACTTCATAAATCAATGATATGAAATGCAAAGGTTGATACTAAATAGTTGCGAGACAAGAAATTAGTAACTAAAATATCAACCAATGTCCACCTTATACATCAATTTAAGCCTCTAGGAGAACTCTGCTCAGTGGAGTTGAAGAGAATAGAGAGAAAGTATACCAAATCAAGAGCGCATGAAAATCCACCCTCAACTTGAACAAACTTGTCTTGACCATGAGGAGGATCTCCTCTAAGTGCCAGAACATTTTGAATTCCATTGTTCTTGATAGTATCCAGGGCATGGTCAATCTTCTCAACTGGCATGTTTGTACAAGTCAAATGCATCATTGTTTCTACAGAGATCTGCAAGAAAACAAAAATGTCAGAAAACACATTCAGATCCAAGGTCGAACTGTTGCATATATGAATATTTATCCATTGGAATATTATCTCAAACAAATGGGTGTTAAGGATGGATGCATTTAAATACATATTCTAAGCCCATTTCTCCAATAATGTAACAGCAAGGATATTCTATAACTGTGATTACTTCACAAGTCAGAGATCAACAGAGTTATCCTTTCTCCATTCCTGTTTTTGCTTATTTGTGCGGACAACTAGAAGTGGGAGAGGTTTCCATGAGTTGGCAATATGTTTGAAAGGTGTAGAGTTGTAACATCGGGATCGAGAGTTCCGGAAAAGGACAGCAGCACAATACAGGTTCTTTAGCCTCGAAGATCACCGTGACGAACTGTTCACGATAAATTTCTCTTACAAATAAGGTTGCTCATGTTCTCTGCACCAGCGAGTACACAATGTGGGAAAACTCATTTTAAACTAGATGGTTAACGCCAGTAACTTCTGCATTGAGACAAGTTCTCCGAGGCCGGAAATATACTTATGCAATACTCAGTGGTAAGATCCCTAAACTTAATTTTCTTTTTTTTTTTATTCAATTTATTGCTTTAGTAGTTTAATTGCCATATTTGCTCCTGTTGTTGTGCTTATTTTACAACACAAAGAATCTCTTTTATTTGGGTTTTTACGATATCTTTTATCAAGTTTTGGTTTTGCAATTTCTCTTATAGTGAAAGCAATTCCTAAACACCTTTAAAGATTGATATACTAAGAAGACCAAACAGTCTAAAGTCTTATCTAAAATACAGTCACATGCATCCATGGATGTCTGCTCTTTGTTATTTTCTTCTAAAGTTCCAGCATAGTCCACAAACCTTCAGAATATGGTTCAATTCATCCCAGTATCAATGAAACAAATTTTAAACCAGCAGCGCAATATGCTAAATAGAAGACAGGTGGTGCTTTCAATAACACGAATCTCAAATTGTTCTAAAGAGCGCATGCTAAGTAAGTTTTGCAGTGCAGAGAGTACGAATCACCACAGAATCCCTGCTCGCTCCTCCCACAAAAAATAACAATGGAAAAGTGTGCCAAAAACTCTCAAGGGCCTTTTGGATGCAAGTAGGATTTAGTGAAACCAGATAGAGCAAAAACAGTAAATCCTTGATTTCCCAACTGTAAGTCCTAAAATCCTGAAAATTATTTGGATGTTAATATCAAATCCAAGTTAAATAAGGATTTGCTGCACCAAACAGCAAAAGGAAGTAGAAGGACCAGATCCACTACTTCTAAGAAAGCAAAACATGAGATCTCACTCTCCAACTTCTAAGGAAACAAACAAAAAAATCCTTGATTTCCCGTTCACAAAGCATCAGATCTAAGAAGCACACCAACAAAAAACGAGCACAAAACCACAGATCTAGCAAACTTCACGTAAGCTTACCAATTGATAGTGAGATGGAGAAGAAAAGGAACTAAAACTACTCGGATCAAACTGCGAAGGGAAAACAACAATAAGCAAGGATTCACATACTATATTTTGCATCCGGTTGGCAATTTCTAAGGTGAGATCGGCGGTGGAGCCACCGGCGCCCCAGGTTATATCGCAAAATGTAGGATTGTGGGCGACCATGCGATCCATCCGCTCGAAGAGATTCTCCACTCCTTCCTCCGTCTTCGGTGGAAAGAACTCAAAGGAGAACACCGTCCTCCCCTCGCCATCCACGGCCTCCCGTATCTTCTCAATAACTTTCATTTTTCACTCTCTCTCTCTCCCCCCTCAGTCGAAGGAAGCCACACAAGGGAATGGAGCTTTTATAGACAGCAGAAACTAGGAAGGGCAAATGCGCGAAGAGAAATAGAGAGACGCGAGGACGGAGAAGAACCTCCACAGCTCCCGGGTGCGGGAAATTGGGGGCCACTCCTCCACCATATCTCTCTCTCTCGTCGTCGCTGTCATTTCTTCGGTCGGAGGAAGCCGCAGGGGAATGGAGCTTTTATAGACTGCAGAAACTAGGAAGGGCAAATGCGCGAAGAGAAATAGAGAGACGCGAGACGGAGAAGAACCTCCACAGCTCCCGGGTGCGGGAAATTGGGGGCCACTCCTCCACCATATCTCTCTCTCTCGTCGTCGCTGTCATTTTCGATCGCAATCACACCAACCATTCTTGGTCGACTCTTACCTTACCAACCCCGCCTGTCCGGGTTAGGTCGGGTAACCAGTTAATGGGCCGGTCTGGCTAAACCTAACGGGCATGGGCTTGGGGTTATGGGCTTGTGGGGTGAGATTTTTTATGTGCGCCAGGGTTCAAAAAATACCTCATGAATTTAATTAGCATTTCTAATACATATTATTTATTATTATTTTACAAAAATAAAATAATATTGAGGCAAATTTATACTATACTAGTATAATTTTAAATAATTTAATAATATTATTAAATTACAAATATTATTTAACTAATTTAATTTTTTTTTATACGAGATATAATAAATAAATTTATCATTACAAGTAATTGTAATAATTATTATATTCCTAATTTAAAATAAAAAAATTAATAAAATAACAATAAAAAATATTGTAAAAATAAAAATGATAATATGGTGAAAATTTTGTATTAGAATATTATAAAAATGATAATTATTGAGTTTAATGATTTTAAATGTGCTTTTATATGAGTGTAATATATAAATAATGTATATTGCATCCATCTCAAAAAATATTTAAAGACTTTAACATTAGCTATAATAAAAAATTTAGTTGAATTATCATGGTGATTTTTTAATAAGTTTAGAAAATATATAATTCAATGTCTAATCATAATGCAAATATAATAATTAATGAAATAATTTTATTTAAATAAAGTATATTGAATACAACAATAAATGAAAAGTTGATATAATTATTATAAGAATAGCACACTCTTAATAAAAATAGCAATCTATTTATCACGTACCTAAAATTTTATTATTAATATTTAAAATTTCATCATTAAGGCTTAGTATTGAAGTAATATGAAAAAAATATAGATATTAAATATAGTATAAATTAAAAAAATCAAAACTTTAATGTTAAAATTATGGCTAACAACCTTATGAGAGAGTTTAAGCATAAATTATTATTTTATTGAGCACTATAAAAATATATTGATATGCGTGTTTCAACAATCAAACATTATTTTAAAATATTGAATCCAATTGAGTTAAGGAAATTATGAATAAAAAAAAGTTTGATATTTCATAAGATTATGGAAAGTCTTAGAGCATAATTTATAAACAGTTCATAGCTTTATTATCATTTGGCAAAAACATATTAAAAAAAATACAAATGATATAATTTCATTTATAAAATCCAGTTCTTATGAATTATAATTAAACTGATGATCAAATGTAAAAAAGTTCTAATTTGATATTTAAAGTACATATATTTATAACAACTTAAGTTACATCTTAAAATTTAAACTAATAACAACTTATTTTGCCTTAAGAAGTACAAAACATATATTATTATCTTAAGTAATAGGCCTAAAAATATATAGAAAAAAATAAACCAATGAAATAAATTCAACTTTAATTATTATGTAAAAAAATACTTTATATACAATTTCTCCAAAGAAAATAAAGTGAATACAACATATATGAGAAAAAAGAAAAGAAATTCATAAATCAGACAAATGATCACAAAATATAATTGAATATAATTAAACTCAATAAATCAAATAAATAAAAATATATAAGTGATTGAAATAAAGAAATCAGTCAATTAAATAATAAATAAAATATAATTTAAAATGATTAAATTCAATAAATCAAATAAACAAATTACTAAGTAAAGAGATTTCATGTCATATATAAAGTAAAATAAAATTACAACTAGAGAGATTTTTCAAAGAAAATAATCAAAGACATATTCGACATCCAAAACTTTTCATACAAAATCAAACAAATCATTAAAAAAAAATGCAAAGAGATTTCAATTTATAGATAAAAATATAATTACAATTGAAGAGATTTTTAAACAAAAAAAGAGGCATCTTTGACATCCAAAGCTTTCCCACTGCCATAGGAGATGCAAGAAGTTGATATAGTATTATGTTATCACAACACTGCCATTGCGAAGGAGTTGTTAGGAGTACTGCAAGTATATCAACTTTCTAACATCATAGAAATATGAGAGATCGCGAAGGATTGTGTAGAGTTTCAGATAAGGCAAGAGTTTGATGAGCTGTGGGAGTTGTAATATATAATATGACAATAAATAGAAAGAGTTATGAAAAGATGAATATGAAGAAGAATAAAAAATATACGGAATACGAAGATGGAAATATAAAAATGAATAATAAATATAAGGAATGCAAAGAGAGAAATATAAATGGATATTTAATTAATAATAATTAAGATCATGATAAAAGAGAATAAAAACAGCATGAGGTAATAAAATGAAAATATGAATGGGTGTTCTATAAATGTGAATCAGCTATGATTATCATTGCGTGCGAAAAAGACAGCCAATGAAAAAAGATTTGATTGTTTAAGTTAAAGATTTTTTGAATGAACGTCAGACCAAGCCAATATCCTTTATCAAAGATGATTATAAAGATTACAACAAATTTGCTCCAAAATTTTGAAACTAAAATGCATTGAAAAACAATAATACAAAAGAAAACTATTAAAAAACTGTTTACTTATAATCGTGTAATATATTTGATATTTATTCTTATTAAATATCAAATAAGTTCCAGCGATTGGGCGGCAGCGACGATCATCAATGGTGGCGAAGACGGTGAGTTAAATTTTCTAAAGATTATTTTACTTATTTTAAAAAATAATTTGTTTTCTTTTTAAAAATAAAAAAATGGTTAAAAATACAAAATAAATGTTCTTTAAAAAATATTTTTTGATACCCTAAACCCTAAATTTAATTTAACATTGTCCAAACATACCGTTATTATGATCTCCTTTTCATGCTAAACTTATAAACAAGAGAACATTTTCAATTTTGGCATAGCAAATAATTTCTTCTTTTCTCACTCATCCTAAAAATGAACAATTATTACATCCTCCGACCGGACGTAGAGGAACATCCGGTCGGAGGCCAAATCGCGCCAAAAAATGAGAAATACCGAGCTAATACCGAGCATACCAAACAATAACGAGGAATACCATCACGTGAAGACTCAATACCGAGTTATACCGAGCTATACCGAGCAATACGAGTTATACAAAAGTTGTACAGAAATTTTCCTAGAAAAAACTAGGTATTGCTCGGTATAACTCGGTATTGTTCTTCTCAGAGCGGTATTCCTCGTTATTATCAAATAATACCTAGCAATACCGAACAAATATCAAGTTTTTTGGCGGAATTTTGCCTCCGACCGAACGTTCCTCTATGTCCTTACACCGGACCTAATAAAAGTTCCCTAAAAATAGGGCCAACGCTACATTGGCTGTCTAACATTCACTCTACACTGATTTTATGAATGCCTTTCCATCATACGGATTCACTTTTCTTGCTAGAATATTCTGTTATGTCAATTTTGACCGCCTAGGAAGAGGGCAAGGACTCAAATGTTTGGAATATATCAAGAATTTGGCTTCTCTTGGCAATAAAATATCCAAGTAAATAGTTTCCATAAGTGTGAACAATAGATTTATGTGTGGACGCCCAATCTCATCCGGAGATCAACCAAAATACGCCACATCACCTGCTACTCGATACCACTCGGTACCCTGCTCGATACCACTTTGTACTTAAAACAGTTTTAAGAAACAATAAAAAAAACTGTCCCAAATGAAACTGAAGTCGCTGTGAGTGTGATGTGTGAAGCACTTTCTACTTCGCTTCTTATTTTCAGCAAATATTTTTCAAACCAATTTTGTCTTACATTTGTCAACTGAAACGTCATGTAACATACATATTCTTAATCAAGATAATATAAAACAATAAACAGAAAGTAGATTAAACAATGCACCATTACATAATGAAAAATGTAGGATTTCATAAAAAAAAAAGTTTTTCACTCACCAGTAGTTTATCAAAAAAGCTTTTGGGAGGTTATTTGAAAACATGTTTGATATCAGAAAATGCTTTTTCTTACCTCAAAAGTGAGAGAAGGCGTCTTAAGTAGATATAACCTCTGGCAAATCTGAATTCCATTCAAACTATCGAAATTAACAAAGAATGAGAACAGAGAACAGAGGAACTGCACCCTCATTGTTAAATAAAGGGAAAAAAAAATACCAATCTACAGTAGTTTCAATAAAAGGCACCAATGCAATTAGAGGTGCCAGACAAAATACATAAAAAAAAAACTATATAACATAAATGAATGATTCAATCTAATTTAACATTTTAACTAACCGGAAGCATTTCGATATAATGAATCAATTCCACCACTGACTTTGTTGTATAAACCTTATGCCAGGTCTAATGAGCAGAATTCCATGTTCAAGGGCCATTATGTAGGTCATCTAAAGCAACTTTCCATACAAGCTCTATCATAAAAAATATTCTGGCAAAATCCCCACCATCCCTTGAGAAGACCCTACCAAATGTTAAAGAACACAATGCTTGTGTTCAGGTTCTTTGACTCGAAATTTAGGGCGATCAGATTACAATCTCCGATGCAAAACAAGCACTAATGCCGTACATTGCATTCATCCATAAACGGCTCTCCTTGTGTTAAGAACTTCTTCCAGTACTTCTTGTACATGGGAATGCCTAAATCAAGCCAAGGCTTCATGTTTCCATTATAGTGCAGAGCAATGGCATTCTTTATCACCTCTTCGCTAACATGATAGTCATGGCCAAGCCCTGAGATAACCAAAGTGCTATCCAGAGGGAATAAATGATCTTGAAATGTCAGCAAGCTTGTTGGCAGAGCTGCAGTCCTCCATGTTTCCTCATTTCCATTGTGGAACTGTAGAAAAATAATATACATTATTAAAATTGGAAGAGCAATGAGTGTCACAGGATACTCTTTTTTCTAAGGCTTCGTTTGGGACGGTTTTCTTACTGCTTCTTAAAACAGCTTTTTAGTACAAAAGTTAAATTTTTTGTACTTGAAAGCTGCTTTGAGAAGCAGTAAAAAAACCGTTCCAAATGAAGCCTAAGAGCCGAAGCACAAATTTAATATAGTCAAAGATTTGATCACATAAATTTGACAACTTCCATGGCCTTCACCAGTTAAAATAGTTGATACCCACATCCTTGAAACATTAGATTTTTTTTTTTATTATTTTTTTTTTGTCATTTTTGATACCCACATCCTTGATACCCACATCCAGTTAAATGAGCATATACGTGAAAAGGTTGGAGTAGCTCCAGTAGAAGATAAGATTAGAGAGAGTCGCCTTAGATGGTTTGGTCACATAAAAAGGCGGCCTTCCGACGACCCAGTTAAGAGAGTAGAGGTATTAGATTTGACTTGTGTTAAGAAAGGTAGGGGTAGACCTAAAAAGACTTGGTTAGAAAATATTAGGAATGACCTTTCTTTATTAGACTTCAACGAGAATTTGGCTTTTAATAGGACACAATGGAGAAAAAGGATTCATGTAGCCGACCCCACGTAGTGGGATAAAGGCTTGATGTTGTTGTTGTTGTTGTATTATTTTTTTTTTGTAAAGTTCTCCATCCAAGAAATATGTATGGTAGTTCACAAAAAAGGGCAAAATAAGACAATGTCTTCCTTAACATGTTTACTCTGAAGGGCTGCTCGGTTGCATGGGAAGATGCGACACTTCCCACTTCTTGATTATCAAAGTGACACTTCCTTTTATTAAATTGTTTGGTTGTGCAGGAAGCATCGTGTCTATCTAATTAATCTAATAAAATTATAATAATATCAAAGTTTGCAATTAAACAATCTAGTATTGAAGTGCTTTCTTTTCATGGGGCGAGAAGTAAACCCGAAGGCATTTTGAGGTATGAGCTTCAAAATTAAACCATTAACTTATTTGAAATATGAAAAATAAAATATTTGAGAGTAATCCTTCTTAGAACACAACAATAACATAAAATATTGAGTTTAGTTTCCTCCCAATACAGCATTTAAGGTTAATTCAAATGGGTCAAACTAAAAATCATAACAAATCATACAAACGCACAATAATAAGTAAGAAGTCTACAATAAAAAAAGTAAACGTAAACAAAAAATCTAAAATAAATTAGTTATGACTTAGGACTCAAAATAAAAAAATCTCTCCCACTCCTATCATTTTAAGAGTCTTCATTACATTCATTATCATAATAGATTATTTCTTGCCTCCTTCAACCTCACTTGCATCAATATCTTCCCAATCTTCTACAGCATCTTCAATCTTATGGCTTAAACATTATTTTTATGATCTAGGTTTAGTTTATAATGCCACTTGGCATTGGGTTGTTAAATAAAAAAAATTCTGAACACATTCTAAACCCCAAAATAGGGGCATACTTATAAAAAGTGCGCCAATCAGCACTTCATTCCACATGTACACCTCTTTCTGCTAACATGAATTGTAAGCCTTAAGGCACAGGTGCCTCGCCCGCAGGCCTCAAGATGTGCCTTAAATTGCAAAATTTTGAAGTATAAGATAGACATAAAAATACATATACAAATGCATGCTTTGTAAATTTATAAAAAAATAATGATACAACAACAACAAGAAAACTTTATCCCACTTTGGGGTCGGCTACATGAATCCTTTTTCTCCATTGTGTCATATTAAGAGTCAAATTTTCATCTAAATCTAATAAAGAAAGGTCATTTCTAGTATTTTTTCTAACCAAGTATTTTTAGGTCTACCTCTACCTTTCTTAACATAAAGTCAAATCTAATGCATCTACTTTCTTGACCAAGTCATCAGAAGGCCGCCGTTTTATGTGACCAAACCATATAAGGCGACTCTCTCTAATCTTAGCTTCCTCTGGAGCTATTTCAACCTTTTTCACGTATATGCTCATTTAGTATCCCGTCTCTAAGAGTAAAATCACTCATCCACCTGAACATCCTTATCTCTGTAACACTTAATATAATGCTTCTCTTTTAATGGCCAACATTCTCCACCATAAAGCATTATAGGTCTCACTACCATCTTATAGAATTTTCCACTAAGTTTGATGGACTTTTCTATCACACTACAAGCCCTTATCTATGTTGTACCGATACACCTATTTATGAAGGCATGTTGTATCTGATACATCGATACACGGATATGCCTCCGATATGGCACCGAGACGTGTCGGATACGGCTTTGTCATATTCAATTAAAATACTATTTAATTTCAAAAGGATTTGCATATCTGATACGCGTGTCCGTTGAAAAGAAAAAAAATCTGAAAAAAAAAAATTAAAAAAAAAAAGATGCGTCGTATTTACTTCCAGGGCTGCGAGCGAGGTTCTCTCATTTCCGAGATGGATTGGAGTCACTTGATGATATGGGAATATTAGAAATTGCTAATCTTTTACTTGATGAGCCTGAATTAGAAGCTATGATATTTATTGAAGATGATACAAAAGTTCAAAGACAAACCACTGAAGAAGCTAATGATATCATTCCTTCTATTGAATATTTGAAACTTCATGTGCTAGATAATTTCAGTTTATGCTTTTGTTGTTGTACTAAACATTTAAGGCTTACTTTTATTTTGATATTATAAGCTACAACGCTACAAATGATGTTGCTTTCTTTTTTTTTTTTTGTAATTTCAAATATTATGCTTTGATTGCTTTCTTAATTTTTATGAATGATTTATAAATTATAATGACGTGTCCGCGTCGTACCTGCATCATGTATTTTTAAGAATTGACATGTCCCGTGTCCGTATCTTGTCGTATCTGTGTCGTCATATTCATATCGGTGCATTCATAGGCCCTTATAAATAAAGATAAATTGACATTTTATTAAAAATAAATTAACATAATATATTTCCTTTAATTACTTGTAAATATGATGCACAAACACATATAACAATATAATCTTATATATATATATATATATATAATAATATTAATGCATATTTAATAGATTATATCATAAATTACAGTATTTCAATGTATGTACCAGCATATGTGTGTGTGCACAAATGTGAGAATCCAAAAAGTTAATAACTATATAATGGTTTTTTTAAAATAAATTATGCATCATAATAATTGTTAATTTTATATTTTATATGATATATAAGAAATCAAAAGAAATTAACAATTTCTTATCTGGTAGATTTTACATCACATATTTTAATATACAACAGCAAAAAACAACAAGCATTTATCCCACTATATGGAGGACTGGAGCTGGCTACATGAATTATCTTCTTCATTGTTCTATTAAGAGTTAAATTCTCATTTAAATCTAATAAAAAAAGTCATTTATAATATTTCCTAACTAAGTCTTTTTAAGTTTACCTATACCTTTATTAACATAGGCCGGATCTAATACATCTACTCTCCTAACAGGATACTCAGAAGGCCAACATTTTACAAGGCTAAACCATCTAAAGCAACTCTCTAATCTTACCTGCCATTGGAGTTACTCCAACCTTTTCATGTATATACTCTTTCACATTCTGTCTCTGTGTAAAACCACTCATCCAATTGAGCATCATCTCTATAACACTTAACATAATATTATACTTATCATTTAATTGCCAACATTCTGCGCCATAAAGTATGGAAGGTCTTACCAGCATCTTATAAAATTTTCTCTTGTAAGTTTGAGGGGTATTTTTCTATCACAAAACAAGTCTGATGTATTCCTTCACTTCAACCATTCAACTTGAATCTTATTAAAAATATCTCAATCCATTTCACATCACATTGAACAATAGACACGAGATATCTGAAACTTGCACTTTTTTTTATGACTTGATCACTCGATGTCACATTCCAACCGTTAGATCTATTACTATTCAAATTGCATGCCATGTATTTGGTTTTTAGACTCTAAGGTTGACCTCCATAATTCAAGTTTTATCAACTCCCTCTCTAGGCTTCTCAACAAGAAGAATATCATCAACAAAAAGCATACACCAAGGTATATCCTCTTGCAAATGTCATGTAAGAACATCCATAACTATTTTTAATATAAATATGCATAATATATATATATATATATATATATAGACACACATACATACATCACATATTTAAATATAAATAAATAGATTTGCATTAATTATTAATACTAAGTACATAATATTAATGCATATTTAATAGATTATATCATAAATTATAGAATTTGAATGTATGCATGAACATATGTGTGTGCATGTAAGAATGATTTTATAATCCCAAAAGATAAGACTAAAATTTCATGACTTCTGTAAGTGTACTTGCATAGATTATGAGCCCCAAGTCAAAAGGATTGTACTAGCCACTTTAGTGTGAGGAATTCACTTCACTTCCCTCACTAACCAAACAATGGAAGTGGATCCCTTTCTTACATGTAAAATGTAACCATACAAGCCCTAAACACGAATTTTATGCATGAGCTAAACAATACGAATAAACTTTCGGATCTTTGCTAGGCAAAACTATAGTCTAACTGCAAGAATATAAAAAGTCATTCTGATATGATAAAAGAAAAAAAAAAGGAATTTCAAATCACGAAGCACAAATTTCATTTTGCTAACATAAAAAACATCCAGACGAAGGAAAGCACATTTTCAGTTTTTTTGTAGTAAGAAAATGCTAATTAAAACACCAATGAAAAGAAGATCGTTTGAATATTTTTCAAGTGAAAACTAGTAAGGGTATCTCAAGTTCAAATCGGAATAAATTAAGTAATTGTAAAATTAGGGTAGAAGGAACAAGAAATGAAAAAAATATAAAGATGTTTTTGCTGATAATACATACCGTGCGCAGCAGCTTTTGGTATGTTCCAGTAACATTATGTTCTCTCCACTTCTCCAAATCAATTATATTCAATCCAGAAATCCACAGACAAGAACTTCTATCATGTATATTTCTGCCTAAAATTATTTCAAGTTGACCAAGTTGCAACTTGCAGAAATTAACAGCACCATTCACTTTTCCCTCCAAATCAATATTCCACAAAGATGACAAGTCCTGCTGGACTATCACATCATCATCTAAAACAATAACCCTTTTCAAATTCTTGAATATTTCAGGAAGGAGGAAGTGAGAATGGCCAAATATAGATACATATTCAGTTCTCAATTGCAAGAACTCTGTTTGATCAAAACCACGGACAGAAATCCTGAATTCTTCCGAGGCAGAGAACTGCTTTAAGCCTATACCATTCAATAAGCTCTGGTTGAGATCATCAATATTCAGGACATGGATGACTGCTTCATTGCAAGGATTTCTAGCAAACCAGAGCTTCATGGCATAGAAATTCTGTCTATCAGTTATCAGATGGAAAACCATATCAGCAGTATTCTGTAACAACAAAAAGTATAGTTACACAAGCAGGTAATGAAACTTCACGTAATGCCATTTATTATAATATAGGTCAGACCTTGGAATTCAGGACAGTTGAATTGATGGTAACAGAAACTGCTAGCATGTCTCGAGTAAATATAACATAATGCCGTAAACTTGGGTCTTCTAACTTAAAAGCAAGAGACAACTCCATATCCGGTCGAGGTTCTCTAAAATATTCCACTGTTAGTCTCATTGACAAACAGTGGAGGCTTTTAGGCATGGTCTGGACACCAAGATGATAGAGGAAGGCACTCTGCTTCATATGGAAATGAGTTTCATCCTCTGTAAGATCAAGTATCTGTCTCAGTTTCCTCTCAACATTGGTGCACTCAACAGTACATCCTTTTGCTTTGGCAATTGTCTGTTCCATCTTCTGAATTTTATTTGGAAAACTGAAAAAGAAGATGTTCTTCAATCTCATTAACCACATCACAATCACGTAAAAAAGAAATAATCATTAGAGACATCAGTAATTGAAAATACCTTAATACAAGTTTAAGTTGCAAAATGCAAAAGGACATAATATTTAGAGGCATCAAAAGTTAAAACAACTTAATACATGTTCATATTGTAACCAGAGTGCAGGCCTAGAGCAATTATTAGGTTGCCTCAAAAGTCCATGAGTTCGAATAATAAAATCAACCTCTTTATCAAGGAGAGATGTTGCTATGTAAAAATGCTGACATACAAAAAAGAAAAATTTTTGCAACTTACGAGGTTTAATAAAAGTTGAGAACCTCATATACAGTAGTGGTCTTTACCCATTGACTTAAATTTAGGGTTGATAGAAGTCAATTTACCAGTGTATTGAACTCAGATCTCCTCCTCCCCTTCACATCTCCTCAGTTTTTCACCCCACATAACAAGTGATATAAAAGATAATGATTCAACTAGGATCAAGGGATCCATCCAATTTATATCACCCATGAGTATTGGCACCTTCTACTATGGTCAAGAAAGACTTGAGAGCAGTTGACTCCCATGCTAACTCTATTTAGCTAAGTAGGCTCTTGATGCATAGAATTAAATAGCTTTCATTTGAGTGGAGTGAAGGCCTATGTGGAGTGCTCTCATGTGAGGCGAATATTGTTTAAAAGTATGCTCGTGTCAAAAGTGAAATAAAATTTGAGTTTCTAATATAATAATAGTGGCCCCATTGGCTTAAGCTTTTGGGTTAATGGGTGTCCATCAACTAGTGTATTGGGCAAAACTTGAGCCCCACCACCCTCCTAATATGAGTCCCTCCTAACACAACATTGGGCGAGAACAAGGTAGTCTTTTTAATTTCCATGAGAATTCCAACATACAAAACTATACAAAATTGAATAATGCTACAATCTGTACCACTTCTTTTGATAAAGAAATTTTTAACAGAAATTTGAAAAAAGCATAAAAATAAAAAATAGTTGTATTGTAAAATAGATACCAGCTGGCTAATGATGTCTTAAACGAAGGTTTTGTGTGAGTGGGGGAGGATGACCACAATTGAAAAGAATAAATTTCAATCTACTAACATTTCTATCTTCAAAATCTATTGCTGCAAACTTCGAGGAAGGGGTGAGCTGGGAAACCTTATTCTAAAAATAGCTTAGGAAAGAGAAGACCCTTCCCTTTTGATTGATATATCCTTCTTCTTAAAGGAAAATACATTCTATCAATCAAGATTTGAAATTGTGCAATGAGTATTGAGGTGTTTTCTTTCGATGAGGCAAGGCATAAGTCCCAAGGTGTAAAACTTAGAATTAACTCATTTAGTTAATGAAAACTATAAAATAATAAGTAATATATTAACATAAAAGTATGATCATAAAAATTCAAAGCAAGACCATTAAAAAGTCGAACAAAATTACATATAGCGCAACATAAATAATCTCTGTCATTCCTAGTTCAACATAAATAAGTAGCATAGGGTCATAATTTATGAATTCCAGTCACCACCATTCTCATCACTTAGAGAGTTTTTATTAAAAGCATTATTATAATTAATTTCTCTCTCTTCCTTCACACTAAAATAAGGAAATGTATTTACAACAATAATAGGAGAGGTGTTGGAGAAGAAACAGCGGCATTGCAACGACAACGACGACATAGCAGAAATGGTTGTGAGCGACGGGATCTTGCGGCTTCAAGTTTGAGGACTATCGGATCTTCTCAAGTAGGGTTTGGTTTAGATATGATGAATATATAATTTTTTATGCATATAATTTATAATTAAAATTCTAAAATTACCTAAACTTTAATTTTTTAGGCTTCCGCCTCTTCAAAATTATGCTCATATTGCACTGAGACATGCCCTCACCCCAAATGAGGAGTAAGCCATATCTAGCAAGTACGAGGCATACACCTCATTTCCCTTTGTTTTAAATTGCGTTGATACAACCCTTTAGGCGGACCACTAATTGCGCAATTTTAAACTATGTTATCAATAACTCAATAAAGAAAAAAGTCTTTCATTTTGATCACTACAGTCCAAGCACATGAAACCAAAATAAACAAATGCAAACAATAGAACAATAAACATGTAAATATTTGACCCTTTGAGTAATGCTTCACTTTCTACTGCAATCTACATAAAATCTCATTTTCTTGCTTCTTGTGCTACAAGCTAATGTAGATATGTGCTAACTCTTTTTAATTGGGCCATAGAGCTAGAGGCACAACAAACCAAAAAAAAAGGATTTTATCTATGAATTCCTTTAGGGATTGAAGCATTACTCTTTCCCTATAATCAATAGTCATAAATATTGACTTCTATAATTAGAAGCAACCAGCGTAGTTTTAACATAAATATCTTTGAACCACAATTATATAAGAACCAAGGTAAGGCCTATGTTTAAGGAAATAAATATTGAAAACTAGATACTTTTTCCCTACTAGATCATACTATCAGCTTACAGTGGTGGGAGATCTGCATCTGAAATGACTTCACTAAGGATGCGTTCATGTTCTTGAATGTTTTGCTTCATTTCACGTGATAAATTCTCTTGTCCCTGAAGTTTAGCAATGCTTGGATAATAAGCTCTGGCTACAAAAAGCTGATCTTTAAATTTCTTTACTGTAGCATCTTTCATTGCCTCTTTATGTTCCTTCGACCAAAGACAATAACTCCCAAATTCAAGCTCACAAGAACTCTCAGATCCATAGAAATTTGAACCCTTAGAAAGATCTTCTACAATTCTGTCACCTGGCTGAGAGAAGAAAAATGATATGAACCATGTCAATTTTTTTTTGCAAGAGATACCATAATTTTGAACCATGTCAGATTACTAAAAGGTCAAGAAAGAATAGCAACTTAGATACACAACAAACAAATACCAAAGAGCACTAAAATTAACTATCGAACTACTATATTTCTGCCCATTCTGTTTTTATTGTAATCACTCCGTTGGTGGCTTTCATCCATGAATAAGATTAGCCAGGCAAAACAAATCGCCATAAATAGAAGTTCAATCAGAACGACACTAAAACCAAACAAAGTAGGTGGAGCAGCTTAAATATTTGAATACCAAGTAAAAAATTATTGATTTTGCAAATAAATCTATTGTTCTTACCCTGGAATCTGAAGTTGATGTCATATTGGAAACAACAATTGGTAATTTAGGTACGCCTGAATAAGTCAATAAAAGCATTTAAATATCCCACAGAGATTAAGACAAAAGATAGGAAAATAAAAACAATATTTTGTACATTCTGGAAAAGGAGTCGTAGCATTTGACTCTGAGTAGGATATATTACCCATTGACTGTGATTTAGGTTGTTCACTGCCCTCATCTGAGCTTTTAGATTTTCCGTCACCTTGCCTTGCAATTATTTGAACAATTTGCTGTATGTAGAGATCAATTCAAAATAATTGCTCAAAATATAAAAAGTTAAAAACAAAATCCGGCTAATTAAACACTGAAAAACTATTTCAGAATCATAGGTTGAATGCAAAAACTTCATCACAAAAAAAGGTTCTGTCATTAAGTAAATTATCCGAGAGAAAAAATGTTTGCAAAAAATTTCATTATTTCAACATAACAGATGACGGGAAGAGTTCTCATAAATTTGAAACAATTTATGAAAGCTTCAATGAAAGGGAGAATACCCCAAATACTAAAGAAAACTATTATTACTGATTCAACAAATGAGCCAAGATAAAATAATATGCTTTCAAGTTTAAAAAATATCAGAAATAGGACAAGTGTCAAGTGATGACAAGGCAAACTTCCCGTGAAAAACAAAAATAGAAAAAAGGGTGTTCCGAAAGTAAAAAAATAATAAAAGATCAATCTGCAAACACTTGAGCTAAGTATTAGAGTTGATGAGATTCACAAATAAGAGAAGGAGATTGAAGCTAGTGCATCCATTGGCAAATTAATGGCTGCCTGCTACAATGGAAGCAGCAGTACCAAGAGGGTGAGTGAAAGGCCTCGCCGCTTCATGCTATGGATAAATGACACAAAAAACACAAATGGAGGCAGCAAGTAGATCGAAATAACATTATAATTTGCTGGCATGCTTTTAAAATGTTCCTTTTGATAAGGAGAGAAATAAAAGAAGAATCGAAAAAGTTTTTCTTTTGACAGTTGTTCCAAGAGAAGTAATTAAAGTGAGGCTCCTTGGCAGTCACACGTATTCCTTTTACATGAAAATAAACACTATTCCATTTACATTGGAATCATAATTTGGTATTTAATTTGAGATCATTAAGTTGATCTGTATGAATTTAATTGGAGATGATGAGGGTTCTCATGACCTGACAATATCGATAGAGAGCAAATTTCATTACATTTGTCATGATGATGGGTACCCGCATACTGTGATCCACCATCAAAAGAACTTGAGTAATAATAGTGTAATGGCACCCAAGCTCAAAAGTGGCTTAGTTTTAGATAGTTTTTCACCGCATTTACGACATTTATCATGTATGACTAAAATAGATACTTTATACTTAATGATTTGTCTTACATTTAGGTACTGAGGATGCACAAAGGTGAATGAAATTTATCTTCCCTCCTATACCATGTTTTCCATTCTATAAATTAGCACTTCACATGATTCAGCTCTGAACATCATTATAAATAGTTCCAAATGGGAGTTACAATCAAATTTTATTGCAACTATGGCCAGTTGAGTAACAACAGCAATGACAAAGTCTGCACCTCGGAGCTATAGGAACAGCCTCTACTCCTCTGCAAGCCAATCAAGAACATGCATCCCTAACCACTCAAAGAATCTTAGTCCTTGTGCTATTCAGCAATGGCAACTCTCTGCTTACATACATGTCTATTGTAGAATTTTATACATTGGAAATCAATAAGAAGAGATCAAAATTTGTCGTTACTCTTCTTATTCATTCTATTTTATTTTCTTTAACCTTAAGCATTTCAATATGGTATCAAAGCTCTAAGCATAATGGACTCCAGGGATCAGTCTTCCTTAACCTACCTGCATCCACACCCAACTTACTACCGATGGCTACCTTTTGGGGCGTTCTCAAACACTCAATGTCTTCACTGCAAACAGCTAGCAAGGTTTGACTCAATTGATTTAACATCATGTCATCATTGATGCCATGTAAGCAAATTTATGCACCCTTTACTCCTATTTATTGGATTTAACACTTGAGCGAAAACTAACATAATCCTATTAATAGTAACCTACACCATTTTTAATTATCATTTGTAATCCCTTTCACTCCTTTCAACAATCATCAATCATTACTATTAATGTGTTGCTAGAATGTATAAAATATAAGTTGTTAATTTTTTTTTTTTTTTGAATAATCGTTAAAATTGTTAGTTATCATAATTGGGCTCAATTGGTTTAATATCATCATGGTCATCATCAATTTCCCTCTTAATTAGCGTGCATAATTGAATCAATATCACAATATCAACTTCAATAGAACTGTCATCCATGATGAGAAGTATAAGCTCATAGCAAGACTAACGACCACTAGAGGCTATAGTCCATTAGTAAAGCAAAGGGCTGCAATGATGAAGAGAGGAGCTTCATGGCTGAAGAAGCAAAGAAAATAAATAACTACAAATTAATGATTCTTTTGTTTAAAACGCCAGCTTTTTAAAATAATCTTAGAAAATGACAAAAACAAAACTACTCTAAGCAATGTAAGAAAATAAATATAATATTTTTTGTTATTTTAAGGTTATAAAGTGTATCATGCATTGGAATGGACAATCAAAACTTCAATCTGTTAAATCTCAACCGTTCCTTGACACTTGATCCCATAGATGGAGATCCATGGGAAGTTCACTTGGATCACATCGATCTCCTTCCATATTTAGGTGGCTGATTTAGGAAGGATTATCTAAGGGCAATTATGCATGATTCTATAATTATTTATTTCTTTATAAAGACATCTTGTATAAATCTCTAAACAGGGATAGTTTTGCGCAATAAAATTAGGTCATTTTCTACTCCAATTATCTAAATTCAACACAATCATTTCCATTTTAATAAGCATCAACGCCGTTTCATCCTCTAGGCTACAAAGTCATCAGCATAGATGCCATAATTTCAAATTTAGGCACCCTCCATTCCCATTTATTGAATTGAACACTCGAGTGAAAAGCTCACATACTCATCTTAATAGTACCCTACACTAGTTTTAATTACCACTTTTAATCCCTTCCCTCCATTACAACGATCGTCGATCGTTGCCATCAATGCGTTTCTATTTTGTGAACCTTATTTAGCTGGACAAAGCTACACTTCTCCTATGTCAAATTCATTAACTTATGAATCTTTTTATCATGGATTTTAGGTTAATCCAACTTCGAAATCAAGAAGGTAAGGAGGTATAAATTAAAAATAAAATAAAACATATTGACTCGATTTACAGTCTAAAAGTTGCCCCATCAGAATTATAGTAGGGTAGGATTTAATCATAGTCAATCTAACTAACCTAACATGTAGATAGAACCAACTATAAACATACATACATGCATACAACAACAACAACAAGCCTTTATCCCTCTAGGTGGGGCTGGCTACATGAATGCTTTGTATCCAAGGTGTCCTATTAAGAGTCAAATTCTCACTTAAATCTAATTAAAAAAAATGTCATTTTCTAACCAAGTTTTTTAAATTTTATCTCTATCCTTCTTAATATAGGTCGGATCTAATACATCTACTCTCATAATAAGATCATTTAAAGTCATAATACAAATGTGGATACAAGCATACAACAACAACGCCAAGTCGTTACCCCACTACATGGGGTTGGCTACATAAATATTTTGTTCTCCATTATGTGCTATTAAGAGTCAAATTTATGCTTAAATCTAATAAAAAAGGTAATTTATAATACTCTCTAACCAAGTCTTTTTAGGCCTGCCACTACCTTTATTAACATAGGTTGAATCTAATACATCTACTCACATAACCGAGTCATTATAAGGCCAACATTTTATGTGACCAAACCATCTAAGGCGACTCTTTTTAATCTTATATGTCGCCGGAGCTACTTCAACCTTTTCACGTGTAAACTCATTTTGCTTATCTTTAAGTGTAAAAGCACTCATCCATCTGAGCATCCTCATCTCTGCAACACTTAATTATATACTTCTCATTTAATTGCCAACATTCAGATCCATAAAGCATTACAGGTCTCACCACCATCTTATAATATTTTCCATTAAGTTAGAGGGGTATTTTTCTATCATATAATAGACCTGATGCATTTCTCAACTTCAACCATCCAACTTAAATTCAACTAATAATGTCCATATTTATTCCAGTGTAGCTTTGAACAATAGACCCGATTTATCTAAAATGTGCGCTCTTTTTAATGAATTGATCACTCAATATCATAATCCCAGAATTAGATCTATTACTACTAAAATCACACTCAATATATTCGGTTTTAGATCTACTCAAACAAAAATATTTAGACTCTAAGGTTGACCTCAATAATTCAAGTTTTATTTCAACTCCCTCTCTATTCTTATCAACAAGAAGAATATCATTAGCAAAAAGCATATACTAAGTATATCATCTAAGAACATCCATGACTAAAACAAAAATATATGAGCTTAAAGCTGATCATTGATATAATCCAATTAAAATAGAAAAAATACTTGATCAAACCACCTTGCATTTGAGCACAAGTAGCAGCTCCTTTATACATATCCTTACTGACTTGAATAAAAGCATTATTAATTCATTTCTTCTCTAGAACTCTCTAGAGCACTTCTCTTGGAACTTTATCATAAGATTTTTCTAAATAAATAAATATCATATGTGAATCCTCCTTACTCTCTCTCATACTTGTCAATGGAAAAGAATGGCGTGTGTCATTTGCGAGCGTCATTTGCGCGCAATTTTATTTTGTGATTTTCTTAATGTAATAAGATTTTTTAAATAAATCCTCACGCAGCTAAAGTCTTGATGCCTCACGAACACCCAAAGCCCCAAACCTCACAAACACACCCGGTTATGTGATTATGCACTGGATTCCACCTTCATTTACGCGATTCGGACTGTCATTCATCCCTCTTATTCCTTCCTTTCGCTACTCTTTATTTGTTTGGGTGATTACGCCTGATTTCATCCATTCGTTGCTTATAGAATTAAGAGATCTCGTGTTCTTAGTCGTCTCCTTCGATAGTTGACTCATCTAATTCATCTGAACTCTGAAGTCAAGTGTAGTCGTTAGATAATGATCTCCTTCTTCTTCCTTTGGTCGATCAATTTTGATCAACTTGCATTTTTTTTTATTTAGATTATAAGTTTAGTGAAAATGCACCTACTACAAGAAGATTATAAGCTTAGGGAAAAATCTTAGTAGAAAAAACAAAGTCTGGGATTAGGAATGAAGGAAAATATATGTGTGGGCAAGGTGTATTTTTCAATTTTATAACTTTATAAGCAGCAACTTATATGTACTTTAGTTAAACATGGACTTGATCATCTCAATATACTTTACATGCAAAGTTATCAAAATTCCTATATCAATCCTAATAATATCTTCATGACATACCAAGCAAGTTTGAACAATCTCGAGTCATGAGCTTCATTAAAATGCCTACCTATATAGTAATATTTTACTTTATTTTTTATGTTTATTATTCTATTTTATTTTGATTAATCTCAAATATTAAAATAATTAAATTTAGCAAAATATTTTTTATTTGATTTCAAGGCTTCAAGAAATTGAATTCAATGCTCAAGAGGAAGATTTGACATGAATTACTATTGCAAAGGTTACTGATGTTTAAGACAACAGCAACAATATTTGAGAGCAATCTAAAGGCAAAGAAAAGGAAAATTCATCTAAGCATGACATTATTGCTATTGAGAATGATGATGATGATGATAGTGATGAAGAAGATTATGAAATAGGAGACAATATTGATGAAGATAATGAAACATTTTTTACCTTTGCGGATGATAGTGATTCCCAAGAACAACAAATTAAATTCTCACAAAATCATTATGCTTTAAAAAATAATTATAATATTTTGAATTATGAGAGATTGAGTTGTTGTTTACTCGTACTTATACATGACTTTAGTTGTCTTTCATTATTATGATAGTTTATCTTTCAGTTTAATGATATTTTATATTAATATCTAATTTTTAAAATTATTTTTTATTTTGCGCCTGTTCAAAATGGTGTGCGCTGCGGCATGCGCTATGAGTCATGGCTCCATAAAGAACTCTGCATTCATCGTTGACAAATATGTTTTCTCTATACTTCTCCATCAAACCTCTCAACAAATGTATAGCTTCCCTAGTAGACCTGCTCAACATGAATCCAAACTTATTTTGAGACACATTTGTATCACATCGTAACATATGCTCAATTACTCGCTCCCATAATTTTAATGTATGAGAAAATAACTTAATTATTCTATAATTCACACACTCATGAATATCATCTTTATGCTTAAAAATAAGAATCAACACACTCCTTCACCCATTTAACATCTTTTTAGTCTTCAAAATAATATTAAAAAGTTAAGTAAGACAAGAATACCTAAATCTCATTAGCATTTTTATACCTTTTATTAGAATATCAACATGTCTCATTGCTTTTCTACACTTCATTTTCTTTAAAGCCTCTCCATCCTAGATTTTACTAGTATGATGATAAAAATAAAATCTATATTTCATTTAAGGTGCTAAGATCACTAAAATCAATCGTATTCTTACAATCTTCATTGAAAAACTTATTGAAATATCTCATCCACCTATATTGAATATCTTCTTCAAAGAAAAAAAAAACTTTTTTTATTTTCATTCTTAATGCACTTCACTTGACTAAGTCCTCTTATTTATATACATCTTTCACCCTCTTTAGTATATAATCTATTATATAAATCACTAAAAGTTAAATTCTTTACATCGCATATTACTTTCTTAGACTCCATTTAAGCCCCTCTATATTTTTCCCAATTTTTTAAACTTTTACATCTAAACCAATTTTCATAACAAAATTTCTTATTTTTATCTTGTCTTGCACATTTTGATTCCCACATTAATCCTTTAAATTCTCAAATTGCATGCTTAATATATTTTAATATCACTAGCTATTTTTTCTCATATAATATTAGTTTCCTCATGAATAACCTAAATCTTAAGATCTTGGATCTTACTCTAAAAAAAAGTTTGTTAGCATTTTTAAGTGCCCCTATCTAATCCTAGAACAATATTTTATTTTATTTTCTTTTTATAATCCACCTCTTCATCTTAAAGTCTAAAATTAATAAACAATGTTAGATAGATAAACTTTCACTCAGAATAACTTCACAATCTTTGCAATCTAAACAATCGATTTTTATTATAAAAAAATAATTAATCTGAATTTTACTATGTCTATTCTTATAAACGATGAGATGTCCATCTCTTTTCTTAAATAAGATATTAGCAATTATAAAATTATAAATTAAAGTAAAATCTAATATGATCCTACACCTTCATTAATTGCTCTAAACTCATATCCACCATGAATGCTTTTAAAATCTTCTTCAATTCTACCAACATGTCTATTTAAATCTCCTTCAATAAAAATTTTTCTTCAAGAAGTGGCTTTTATACTATTTTTTTAAATTTATTCTAAAATTTCAGCATTAAACACATATTCAAATCTACTTAAGGAGCATAAGCACTTATATATTAATAATCTTATCATAAAAAATCTTTTAGAGCTATAATTCTATCTCAAACTATATTAATTTCTATAATATTAGAAATGTTTTTCTTTATTAGATTTAAATGAAAATTTGACTCTTCACAAAACACAATGGAGGAAAAGTATTCATGTAGCCAACCCCGCGTAATAGGATAAATGCTTGATTTTGTTGTTGTTAATGTATCATTCAAATTCTTATTTGTAATCACACTTACAACATTTTTAATGCGATTTTAACTTGAATATCATTATTTAAATCTTAAACTACTAATATCCTTAGCCTTATTTCAACCCATTTAATTGTCTAAATAGATAGAATATTTATCTTCATATGAATCGTAATATTTATTACTTCCAAAAGTTTACCGGTAAAAGAAACTATATTCTAAGTTTCTATCCTAAATCTCGCATCATGGACTAGCTTCTTTGCTCACATTAGTCCATGATGTGGGAACTCTTGCTTATTTCACACCGCACCCGAATGTTAGTACAATAGCCCTTGCACACCTTTTATTGTATTAAAGTCATACAACACGTCGCTTACAGGGAACGCCCCAATATTAACATAATGTATGAAATAATTTATTTCATGTTTGTTCGATAAATTTTACACTGGTCGACTACCACCAAATGCAACCCTTTATTTTTCTCATCCAAGGCTTGGGATCCAGGAACGATAGTTTAAAAGTACCCAGTACTGGTAGAGCATACAAAAATAATTAAATGAAGATATGCACGAACTCAGGTGCACATGAAAGATAATAAGAAATCATAAGAGTAATGAAAGCATATGCCTAGAAATATTGATGCATATATCAAGACAAATGTTTTATTATCATCAATATGGTTGCTTGCTCGCATTTACCTGCAAATAAAATCATAGTTTACAATTTAAATTTAAGTATATAAAATATCTTATCTTACATCAATGTCATTATTGGCTTCATACATAACAAGAATTCCCATTAAGAAACCATGACTCTTATTCTACCACTCATATTAGCAAGGAGGATATAAAACTTTGGTATTAGCAACCATCTTCAACATAATCTTCGACTTAGAAGAAACTTTAAACAGTGTATACAAGCAAAAAATTATGGAAAGCATGATGATTTAAAACATTCCTTTATGCTAATGAGGGACAAAACCATTGGTCCATGACAAGCAATACCAAGCTTGGCCTACGATGATGCAAATGAGAAAATATAAAACAAAACACATTAATAGCACATAGATCTCATCTTGTTGTAAGATATGGAAATCACCATAGTCATATAGAAAATACGAAAAAAAAATGGAAATAATAATAGAGAAAGAGATGCAAGGGCATAAAACAAGTTAAGCTGTGGGTAATCGTGTTACTATCCTAGTGATGAGAAAGCTAGAAAATCAGAGCAGTAATAAAGGAAATATTGGATGCTTTTTCGTGCTTGAATTTAAGAAGTTAACTTAAGAGCTCACTGAAAAGCAGCCAATTCAATATATAAAAGAGATTTCCTCCACACAATGGTTTACTAGTACAGCCATGAATCGAAATTAATATATAAACAAAATAATATGTCCCTCCATGTTTCAAAATACAAAACAGGTAATACCTGTGGCAAAGATGGTGTAAAATTCATCAACATTTGTTTCACTCTGGAATCTTCCTGGACATACCAAATAACATAGAACTCAACAAAATAAATTCCAACAATCTGGCCAAATAGAATAAGAAAAAAACATGAGCTCCAGACTTCAAGCAGAAATTCAGAATTGCACCTTCACTGAAATAGGATCTATGGCACCATCCTTGCTGCCGTAATGTTCAAAGAATTCCTAGTTTTCAAACAAAGCTCACGATTAAGAAGCATCATAGCGAAGAAAGCATATCATTAAAACACATGAATTTTTCTTACGGATGGTGGGCTCTCATCACTCAAGTACCCTGCAAAAAAAACAAAACTTAGGTAAAAAATCAAGCCATGTCAGTTGCAAGAACTACATCAAGCAATCATAGAAAATGTAAGATCCAGAACAGGGCATTGCAGTTTGCGAGCAAGCATAGACACGGTAATCATCCAACCGCGCAAAACAACAAAGCTAGTTCCCCGCAGATCCGCGCCCGACCACACAATGCAGGAGTCGGCAGAGATCTCCCGGAACAAGATCTAAGCGGCGGGCCCAATGCCTACGCCGCCGGAAGACCTCCGAGTCGGATCTGGGAACCCTGGGGTTCTAAGCTAGAAGAACATGCGAGATTAAGAGAGATTCCGGCAACGCACCGACTGGGAAGCCGTTGTGGAGCCCGAGGAGGAAAGCAAGGGGGACGAACATCGAGAAGAAAACAAGCAGTAGAATCGTCAGAGCAAGCCATTTCCATCTCCACTGCTTCGCCGCACACGACGAGGTCGTCGTCACCGCCACGTGGCCTTTCATCTCCTCCTCCGGCCTTCTCCGATCAGGACCTGCACTATCTCGACAGATCCGAAAAGAGCGGTCTCTCCCGCATCTCCATCACTTCGGCGTCCGAGCTCATCCGCTAGCCCCTTCGATGGAAACTTTTTTTTCTTACCCCCTCTTTTCTGATTCGGGAAAAGCGATTCGATGACGAGGGGTGAAAGCGAGAAGAAGGAAATAGATAGAGCCATAGAGGAGGGAGAAGTGATTTTATTTTAGGTTAAAAATTGAACGGTTGTTTTCTGCGGTACGAAAGAGCCAGGTTTCCAGTGGTTATTTCTAGGAAGGTGGGTGTGTGATTGGGTTCCTCAATGCTGTGCCTACGGTGATGTTGTTAGAAGAGCTGCCCATCTTGTGTTCGACATATTTAGGAAAAAAAAATTAAAATGTTTTTTTCCTCCAACAAATTAAACAAATTTTTATTTTGTTTTTTTTTTTTTCAATGTTATCAAAATAAGTGGAATATCATTCATCTTTGTCTTATCTATATATCTCATTTCTCCTCTCTCTCTATATTGCAAATAAGCTTCTAATTTCTAATATATTTAAATATATTTTATACTAATATTAAGGAAGCTAGATCAAGTTTGACTTATTTTTCTCATCAAATTCGGCTCATAAGTTATGTATCAAGTTGAACTCGGTCCAGTTTATGAGTCGACTTGACTCACTTACCTCTAGTTAGGGTTATCAAAATCAAGTTTCGGGTCAAACCTAGAACAGTGCATGGCTACAGACAGAAAGAACATAACAGAAAAGTCATGACTGTACAAAAATCAAAAGTACAAAATACCTAATATGAGATCAGACACAAAATTGCTAGTCCAAGACTTCCTTCCCTTTCCCAGAACCTAAAAATCACGCAGAAAATAAGAATGAGCTAACAACTCAGCAAGACTACAATCGCCAATCAAAATCTCCAGAAATCACATCAGAAAATACATCAGAAGCAAATAGCTGTACATAATTTAGATAATCGGACAGAAACCATATAACAGACAGAATACAGATTTCAGATACTTGAACATAAATCAAATAGCTGATAAACAGAAAAACTGAATTTATTCATATAGCAGAATATTCAAATCAGAACTATCGTCAAATCATATAGTCAAACAGAATCGTACAAATTTCACATATCAGAACATATCACATATCAGTTATCCCTGACTCAGACAGAATCTCAACGGATTCTGGCCCCTTATGCATCCCTTCCTTGACAAAGACAGGACCTCAACGGATTATGGCCCCTTATGCCTCCCTTTGTGCTTATAGCACGAGAACAGATATACATAATTTTCAGAACAGAACTTGTTTTTCATATTTCCCTGACACGGATAAAATCTCTAAGGATTCTGGCCCCTTATAACTCCCTTCTGATATCACAGCACATCAAAACATTCAAATTCAGAAATTCAATTTCGTCAGAAAAATCGTCAGCGGCATAACGGTAGTATACGGAAATTCCACAGAATTCACAATTTCAAAAATTTACCAAATTATCACAGATAGCATAAAACATCATTTCAATACTTTCATTGTACTGACGAAATATTTTTCAACATCAATATAATTCGTAGTTTGCTTAAAACACCGCAGAATTTCAAATACCCGGTAAAAATATTCCGAAAAATACTCGAAACGTGCACAAATATCATCTCCTAAACATACCAAAAGTTACACAGTAAAAAGTTCATCAGTGCGAAATGAAACCAAATATTCGCTAATGGAAATAAACTTTGAAACAAAAAAGTTGTCAGAAATCTCATTTCTGAAAAATTGAGAAAGGCGGAATGTGCCTTACCTCGAGTCGGTCAACTTTCCCAATTATGGCGACGGACGAAAACGGACCGAAGTCGTCCAAAAATGATTTTTTCTTCTTTTTCCTTCGATTTTCTCTCTCCTGTGCTTTTATCTCTCGTCAAAAATATCTCAATCCAATATATATCCATGCAGATCATACGGGACGATCCAAAATCGTCCCGAGATGATCTTCCCTCTGGACAACTTTGTTCAAATGCGAACAGTAATCGTCCCTGGACTGCTTAGCCTCTGGACAAATTTCGTCCCGACGAATCAAAATTCGTCATGGGACGAACCTCCCAGCCAGAAATTCTGTACAAACCTGTACCGATCGTCTCGGGATGATCCAACTTCGTCCTGGACGATCCTGGAAGGAAAACGTGGAAAACTGGCTCTCACAGCCTCGCACGCGATGCGCCGGCGGGCGCGGGCAGCTCAGACGCTACGCGTAGGCATGCTCGGACCCGATGGGCAAGTAGGCACCGGGTTAACCTGGGCAGTGCGGTCAACTCGTTTCAAACTGATTTTTCAGGTTGACATGTCTAGTTTTCAGGTTAACCCGAACCCGACACATTTTTTTCAAACTTATCAAATCCGGGAACTCAAACCCAACCCGTTTGCGAAACGGGTTGACTCTAACCCGAAATTTTCGAATCAAATTTTTTTGTTCTTTCAAATATTGACACCCTTACCCCTAGTTAAACCTAAGAAATGATGAAAGGTAATAAAAGCTAAATATAAAAAATATATATATGATAATGACATTACTGTGATGACATTTACGGTCTTTTTCTTCGTCATAAGTAATACTTATCTGATAATATTTTTTTCCCCAATTCGGCCTTTTTCTTCGTCATAAGTAATACTTATCTCATAATATTCCAGTTCAACGGCAGGATTCTTTCAGTGGTTTCCTAATCATCACGTTGTCATTATTGCATGTGTAGATTTTTGTCTTGTAAGAATATCGACTGATAGCTACCTCACTAATATAATACTCTTTAATTAAGATGTTTTAAACGTAACGATTAATTTCCTACAAAACTAAAATATAATAGAAAAAAGAAACATGTATTAAAGTTCGAATATTTTATTTGATATAGAAATACATGTTCGTATATTTTATTTGATATAATATTGATGGTGTAAAGTTATTTTATATTTGAGTTATTTCAATTTTGGAAGTTTTGGATGTTGCAACACGTGGCAAGGGCTGCACATCTTTGTGATGAGAGATTTTGTTGGAATCGTAGAGAACAATGATTGGAGTGAAATAACATTTTTAGTTTTTGTTTGGGATAGGTTTTTATTATTTTTAAAAGTATAATTTTATTAAAAAAATTTTGAATTATAAATTTTTTATTAAAAAATTGTTTTAGAAAGTATTAAGAAACCGTCCTAAACGTACGAAGTCTTAGATAAATATATTGTAAGTTTTGTATAATATCTATAAATATAGAAAGATAAATGAAATGAAGGTGAATTAACACTTTTAATGAATAGAATCTTAACGTCGAGAGATAAAAATGATAAAATAAGGAGTTATTTGATTTCTCCAAAATGCCTCATTTATAATGAGGGCACCAAGTTTGAGATGAAATTTATCAAGTTAATTATGAAAGTGAGGTTTGGTAAGAGTGTCAACAAGCTAATCATAAGAGGCAAATGAGAGACACACATATCTTACTTTCGAACTTTTTGTCGAACGATGTGGTATCCATGAGAATGTGCTACATACGTGAATGAAAGATCGGGTTTACAAATAAGTAGGTGGGGCCGATATTCTCATAGTAAATTGTGAGTGTGGTAGTTAGACGTTGAGCTTAAGAATTAAAGATTTTGACCTAATATTGTATGCGTTGATAGAGGCATTTGCATTATATTCTGTTTTGGTGTAGGAAATAGAACATTGTTTTTTGGAGCACCAGGAGAAAATAAACATGACCAAGAAAAATAACATGAGCACTTGTGGAGGTTTGATTGATAATATTGATGGCCCAATAAGTATCATATAGGGCATGGAGAGAGAGGGAAGAGTTGGGATGAAGAAGAAGCGCATAATGAATAAAGGTCCTAATGAAGTGAAGAATTTGTTTAGTTGAACTCCATTGCGCTGTCATGGGGCAATGCATAAACCGGGAGAGTTTAAGCATTAGTGTCACATACTAGTGGATTTATTGGGATCAAGAAAGCCTGGTGATTGGCACACGTATGCTAATGTTCTTAGTAAAGTGATTATGAAAAAAAAAATACATTTTTTATGTCAAGTTGTTTAATTGACCGTCCTTTAGATAGAGTAGGACTAAGAATGAGTTATATTATTGTAGTTTTGAGTACAAGACTAAATGTTTCATGACAGTTAATAATGAGGAATTACCCTTTGCCACAAATTGAGCTTTTATAATGATTGATAGAGCCATTAAAATTGTATTTGATGTGAAATACCCACTCACACCTTACAAGATTCTTAGATGGTTGACGATAGATGAGAGTCAAAGTATGAATGTGTAGAGGCATTGTGACACCTATAGGTTAAGCGTCCAAATTGATCTATTCTGACCTGATTAGAAAAAAGTCGCAAGAAAAATATTTGAGGAAGCAGAGGATTTTTTTAGCAGCTTTGGGTCGTTTTTACCTGTTGCCTCAATTCATAAAGTTGTCCGGATCGAGATAGACCACATTATGCCTATTTCAGTTTTCAAAAATACAAAATTTTATTAATTTTTTTGATTAAATTTATATTTCTGTTAGCGAAAAGTAAGTATAACTTTGTAATGAAAATTTTTTATAGCGTAACTTTTTATATGTTATAGAGATTATGATTATGATTATTGTTTAAAATTTTATATCATGTATCTTGGAATATGTGCAGTTTTAATTAAATAAAAAATATAGACACCAAAAAATAAGGCAATAGTACAATGAATGTCTTAAACCAATAATATTTTACACAATCTTCTGTAATTTGGTTATGTTCTAACATTGTGAAAATTTATTCAGTAGGAATTTCAGTTGCTTAACATTATAGAATATTATGCAATTCTGATATGTGTTATATTTTACTTTAATTGTTATAATATGATGAAATATATGCTTATTCAATTGAAAAAATCTATTGAGAGCTATATGGGGTCATAATCCTTTGATTATATGTCAGGAAATATTTTAGTGCTTGTAAGACATGTACTGATGGCTATAAGTTATATTATGGTGCATACGGGCATGTTGTGATGCTATAAACACAAAAGGGAGTCATGAGGGACTAGAATCTTTTGAGAATTTATCTAAAGCTAAGGAATGTGATATGAAACACTACAAAAAAGACAAGTTTTAAGGACATATATATTAAGGCACTATTATTTAACTGCCTTAA